AACCAAAAGAGCCTAAGGTCCAATCTAAAGAGCCTAAAGGCTGATATATAAGAGCCCAAGGGCCAACTTCGAAAGGCTTAAGGGCCAAAAACTTATAATTCGAGACTCCGTTCTCACTTTGCCCGGACTATGAGTAACGATATCCCCAGCTCACATGGGATCGATTTAAATTTGACTCGATGATTATTATATCCATAAAGATCTAAGGGTTAACTATATCTCGAGTTCAAACCAATGCCCGGACAAATCATTCAAGTTGTACAAGCGAACTATTCCGTAAATAAAGGCAATATGAAATCCAGCACGAGTCAAAGATGAGATAAAATGTTCCCCTTACATTTCCAAAAGATGATTACAGAAGATATTTACACGAGGGACACTTGCACAAAAACAAATGAAGAAACCTAAAACTACTTCGGGGTCACATCTTCAGGGGCCGCATCTTCGAGAGCCTCATCTTCGGGGACTTCGTCTTCGTCTTCCCCACTCTCAGAACCACTGTCCTCCTTCACACTTTGAAACTCACGTTCAAGTGAAGCCAACTCTTCTCAAAGAGTTTGTTTCTCAGAGGCGAGATCGTCCATGCTTTGCCTTCACCCCGAGGTCTCGGCCTCCTTCATCTTAAGCTCCTCCCGAAGCTGCATCACCAATTCGCCCTTCTGATGAAACTGCAAAGTTAAAAGTATTAATCGTCGAAACAAACAAGTACATAACAGACCCTCGAAGGCTATAATACCTTTTCAACAAACTCGGCCCGCCCTTGGCAAGCTGCGTCAATTCAGCTCGAAGATTGTTGATCTCCACCACTTTCTTAACATAAAGGGTTTTGAGACTGTCCTTCTCTTCCGAAACCTTCTTAAACTCAACCTCACATCGAGAAAGATCAGTTCGAGACTTGGAAAATGCCCTTTTATGGAGCACCACGGCCTTCATAAAAAAGGAGGGAAAGATAGATTCAGAACGGCAAAAACAAAGGCGCAGGCATAAAAAACAGAAAACTCACTTGTTTGAAGAGTCGACGGGCCTCATCAAAAATAAAGGAAGCATCTGGGCCAGGGCCATCTTCAAGCCCTGCAAGGCATTCTCGAAAGATGTCATGACCTTTGTGGCTCGCTTCCACTTCAGAATACCTCATATTTAGAGCATCTGGAATTTGCCCCTCGGAAAACTCGGGGCCAGGCGGTGAGTCATCCATATTTATTACCTCAAGTGATCCACTTAGGGCGCTCTCTTTTGTTTGAAGAGGCTCGGGATGGGGCCGTTCGGCCTTGCCCTCCAAATGGCCTCCTAGACGAGGTGCATTTTTCTGCACGATGGCTCGGGGACTTTGTTTGAACTCCCCTCGGAGATTTCCTCGCTCTGGAATGATCCACATCAACCATCACCGGCTCGATAGACTTCAAAACATCAGCATTTCCTCTTTCACGAGCTAACAGCAGGCAGGCGTCATCTTCTTTTTCCTCCAGATTTCGAAGGCGCTGGGCCGTTTCCGAAGATAAGGCCACCGTATCGGCCTTGGACTTTTGAGCCACGCTTTTCTTAGGCTTCGGGGGATTTGTAGGTGACTCTCTTTTTCTTTTTCTTTCTTTAGAAGACTTCGAAACCTCTTCTTCATTAGTCAGGGCCGGCCGCATAGCAACGGCGTCTCCAAGACCTGCACGAAAGCGAAATAAGTATCCCACAGGGAGAAGTACAAGAAAACAAACAAGAGAACTCACCATGGTTTTTGGCCTCCCATCGACCCTTGACCAAATCTCGCCAGCAACGCTCCGAATAAGAGGAAGTGGAAGCCAGCTTTCGGACCTAGCCTTCGAGGTACGGGACCCCACCAGGAAACCAGGCAGTAGCTGCGCCATCGGAAAGGGGTTAGACCAAGGAAAAGGGTAAAGCTGAGAAGAGAAAGCAAGGTATACACCTGCCAGAAACTTATGTTTCATGTTCCACTCCTCGGGGAACGGCATCCAATCAGTAGGAATCAGGTCAGAGGTCTTGACTCGGACAAACTGGCTCATCCACCCTCGGTCTTTGTCCTCGTCAATACTATAGAAGAGAGATTTCAAGGATCGACGTTGTATTTTAACAAGCCAGCTCAATAAAGTCGGGGACTGTACAGTCTCATCAGATGATCGAGGGTGAAAGACATCCCCTCGACTTGGCTCGAAAAGAATCTGATCAAGTGAACGATTCGCCAAAATGAAGGGTAGATCTGGCCAAACGTCACTCGATATCGTCGGCAAAAATCAGGAATAACCGGATCTATGGGACCCTGAGCCAGAATTGCAGGACCCAGCGTGAATAGGTAGGTGTATACGCTCAAGTACCCCGCTTTATATGTAGTGATGTCCTCATCGGAAGAAGGAATCACTACTTCTTTGTTCTCCCACTTGTAGTCCTCCTTTGCTTGCGCAAGCTCGTCCTTGGTTATCAAGCAAACATATCGAGACATGGGCTCACACCGGCTTGGTGTCGACATAGGTTTCTCGACTTTGAAATCGAAAGTTATTTCACATGGCCGAGGGATGCACTCCTCAATTCGAGGGGGCACTACTGGTTTGCCCTTGGTCGGTCAGGAAGATGAAGAAGCTTTTTCTTTCTGGGGAACCAGTTTAGAGGTTTTAGCCATCACGACACGAAAATTCAAAGAAAATGGAAAGTGTTGATAGTGAGATAGAAGAGAAGGAGGAATTCAGAGAAATTGAAAGAGCTAATAAAACTTTGTGAACAATATGAGAATAAAGTTTGCAAGGTTATGAAGTTGTTCATTTATAGAGGTCACTTAACCATACTTTGGAAGCCAAAAGGCCGACCGTCATCTGCCTCCAATCAATGACTTTGGAAACAGCACGAAAAGTAACCTTTTCAGTCACTTCAATCACTGACGTCACGAGATTGGCATTAGAATCAAGGCGTCGAAGATCAATTCGTTTTTTTTATCAATCTATTTCGGGTTCGAGCGAAGTGTTCACTCAAATACTAAGCCCAAGGGCTACCCGAGTTTGAGAAATTTCTCACTCGGGGACTACAAAAAAGCCTAAGGGCTAACTTTATTCGAGCAAGTACTCGCTTGACTACTAAAGCCCAAGGGCTACCCAAGTTCGAAGGAAGTTCTCAGTCGATGATCGTCGATGGAGCCTAAGGGATAACTTTATTTTGAATTCTAGACCTTGCTCTCACTTAATTCAGACTCAGGAATCCCGACGTTCCGAGTTCGCATCGAATCGATTTAAGCTCAGCTCGAGAATTAACGAAAGCCTTAAGGGATATTATGTTGGTTGATTAAAAACCTAAGGGTTTGTCACGCCCTGAGTCCGGTGTTTGGACTAATCATTAGAATTACACAATCACATTTTTCACAGAACGGAATTCAACACAAGCCAAAAGGAAGATAAGGGTATCCTTTTATATTTCCGAGTGATGGTTACAAAATATAACTTCAACACCCACGAAGGGTACTTACACAGAAACAAAGAAGCAAAAATAAAACAAAAAAATCAAAAACCTAATCTACTTCTAAGGCCACGTTCTCAAGAGCATCATCTTCGAGAGCCTCCTTCCCGGGGACCCCGCTTTGACCGTTGGGAATATCTTCGTACTCAAAGATATTAGAGGCGGAAAGTCTTCGATAAATGTAACCATATCTCGAGCAGCGGAGATTGAACGTTCTGTTGAAATTTTGGGCCGTAATCCGTTGAAAAAGAGCAACAAAGGAAAAAGATCAGAAGATGTAGCTTCAGCTTATATCACAAGAAAAATCAAAAGGGTTTCAAGGTGCATGAGCAATGATCCAAGAATGTTTATCCTTGGGACATTGTTCCGGGATTGGATGCAAAAGTTAGTAGACGATAGTGTCACCTCATTCCATGGAAAGCAAAAGAAATGAAGTGCTACACCAAGTTGAAGTTAAGAGAGATGAGTAGTAGTGTAAAGTTCGTATATTTTCTGATGCGAGAAAGATTCGGCGCCCTCCTCACATTGTTTCGAATCAAAGCTTTGAAAAGGGAAACCTTGGCATAACTGGTAAAGTTGCTGCCGTATGACCATGTGTTCGCAGGTTCGAACCATGAAAATAGACGATTAAAGAAGGAAGCAAAGAAGGGAGAAGACCAAAAGAAGATAAAGATGAAAGAAGCACGATTCTTTGTTCAACAGGATAGCCTCCTATTTATAGAAAGGCGGCGACGGACTGGCGGCGCAAGTGGCCGACCAACACTAACACGCATTTGATGTTTTGGGGAAGAGCGCCGACGTGACATTTCCGGTCATTTCAAGTACCTACATCACGGGCGTGACATCATCATGAGAAGCTCGGGGAAGTTGAGGTGAAAATCGTTTCTTATCATCTTATTCTAAGAAATGTGGGGACTATCTGTATACGGTCAAAAATCATATGCCCCCGGTGCAGAATCTCGAGGTTTCGCCCTAGGTCCAAGTCCGGGAGGGGTCAAGTTCAAAGCCGGTGGACCAGGCTCGAGCTCGAGGAAAGAACGTAATGCCCGGAAATAGAAGTTCGAGAAATACCGATGCCAAGTGTGCTCGACCTCGAAATAATACCATTATGAATTTGTACCGGAGCAAGCTAGATTCCTGCCACGTCCCTGAGATCATGGCGCAAATTCCGGAATAGGATCGTACAGCTCCGTACTAGGCGGTTAAGGCATCTGTAATAAGAATATTCCCTACTGTAAACAGAAATATTCCTTATTTGGGATTCCACTATTATAAAAAGGGGAGCCCCAATCATTTGTAAACCACCTTTTCATTGTGCAAACACTGCTACAAAAAGGGCCTTTGGTGGCAATTATTTTAGTGGCAATAAGGCAATTACCGCTAATAAATTCTTTAAGCTGAAATATTAACGACACATGACCATTAGCCAGTAAAAAGTATCATTTTACCGACAATAAAAATAAATTGCCACTAAGAATTACTAGTTAAAATCAAAAAATTTATTATTTTAACTTTCCCTCCTTATCCGAAAAATAATACGTAGTAATCTTTCCCTCTCAGATTTTTGGGCTTTCCCTCTGACTTTCACACAATTAATTGATTATTACGTCAAAAACTTGAAGGCTCATTCATAATAGCAAGGAATCAGAAAAGGCATCGGTCTCTCAATATTCTCCGAAAATCGTTCCAAAATAATTCTCACTGCTTCAAATTCGGCGAACATAAATCAACAATGAACAGAACAGCTTCCATTGCAGCGACACCAAAAATTGATAATAAATCGACAATCAACAAGGAGAAGAAACAACCCAACAACCGTTTCAAGCAAAATCTCAATTCCAGATGCAATAACGAGAAGAAATCAATTTAACCATCTGTGAGAAAGATATGAAGGTACAAAGCTTCATGTTTGGTTGGTATTTGCCTTTATGTATCTCTATATTAAATTTCTATTTTTATTTTTTCATCGCAGGCCTTAGATTGGTTTTCCCGTTTTTGAGTCGCAGACGTCGAAGCAACAATTTACCCGAGCGTGGGGATTCTGGGTGAAACTTTATTCTCCTCTTGTTCTTCCTTTCCATTTGACTTTCACATCATTTGTCCTATGGAAAGAGGGGAAAAACAGAGAATAGCATCTCCAACCGGTGGATTTATAAAATTTATAATTCTATTTCTACAAAAAGTGATGGATTTATTAGAGTGACAGAATGAGCTAATCAACAAAAGGAAAGTGTTTTTCTTGTGATTTTATTGGATAAAAGAATGACAATTCAGGAGAAGATATAAGAGAGAAGAAATGTGATATGTCAAGACGATGGTATGGTAAAATCTAGCTTTTTTATTTCTATTTTTATATTTTCTATGACCTTTTGCTGAAGAGAACATACATGATAAATAGAGGTTCACAAATTTTAAAAAAAGGTTAAATAGTGTATTTCTTCCCTCATTTTGCAGCTTATTTTATAAGTATTAGTTATGAATCTAATGATTGTTCTTTAGCTGTGTGATAGTAAAAATGCAGAAAAGATAGTGTAACAACAACAATTCCTCAACTGAACCAGAAGACAATAAATAAAGGGTGAAAAAGTTTATAAGAGACATCAGAGTGATAGGAAAATCTTTGTTAAGGTATTATTCTGTTAATTTTTTAGAATGGGAAGAATATTTTAGGTGTATATCAGTCCTAAGTTTCCTCTGGTATGTAATAATAATAATCATTTTACTTTTCCTTTACCCTTTAAGACCGATTTTTTGATGACCACTTGTGTTACCTTTGCATCTTTGCCTTCTTCCCTTGGTTCTTTTCACCTTTCTGGCTTTGCTTCTGCCTGTTGCAAGAAGATATTCAACGAATCTCAGGTGACGATGGCTGATTACTAATGCGTCTTCTGATATGTTCATTTCATTTGTTAAATGCTGACTAATCTGGAGATTTCACGCTGAGCCATGTTCTTTTTTGTTTAATATGATAGATGGAGGCATTTTTCCTTGGAAAAGCTCGATTTGTTAGGATACTTGTCTGTCTTCATTGTTAGGAGTAAATTTTTCATTTTCTGCCCGTGCTTCTTGATTTGAAAATTGTCGAATGCTATCCTAATGACTTTATTTGTGAAATAATTTGTTTGTTAATTAAACAGTGTGTCGTTACCCAAAGTTTGTGATAGCAGATTTGAATGTTTTTGTAGTTTGAGTGCAATGGCATTCTCTTGATTGATTCTTAAATTACTATGTCATTTGTTTATGTAGAACTTGGATGTGAATTGAATTTTTTTACTAAAAGAGAATGGCTTAGCTTGCAAGTTGCAGTGTATGTGTATAATAATATAATACTTTGTAGATGACTATGTGGTTGATCATTTTTTTGGAAAATATGTGAATTGTCTGTGTAGAATCCATCTATTATGACTCTATTATTTGAGTACCTCAATCTAATATGACACTGTTTCTTTACCTTCCTGTAGGTATTTGATCTAACTGTGGGACGGAAATTTTGATAGGTACGGATTCTTATATGTGCAAGTATTTACAGTTTTAATAGTGATTTTAATTGTTTATAAGATTTCTCTGTAATTGTAGGTAACTTGCAGAGGAGTTGCAGATGGTCGTGACTGAAGTGGAACCACTGAGACCAATGAGGTGCATAATTGAAACCATATAAAATGTCTCAAGGTGTCTTTTATTACTTAAATAACTGTTCATCTCTTAAGTTATTTGATTGTGCCAAAAGGTTTCGGTAGTTCTCTGCCTCTCTCATATTGCATACCTGGACTCTGCGACATAGTATATCTGAGCAATTTTTGGACTAAGCAATAGTCCCTGAAAACTATAATCCTCAAACATTTTTAAGTACTCAGTCTCCCTTTAATATACCACGTTGGTATCAGTGCCAACTTGCGCACCAGAGAGCTGTTGGGATGGAGCATGAATTGTTCACATCATATGATGAAGTTTACAACAGTTTTAATGCATGTGTGTGCAAGAAAATCTTGTGAGGAAAATCTATGCCTATGGTTTTGAGAATTCTTTTGCTATTCAACATATGACTATTCTTCTCTACAAAGTCTTGATGCTAATCAACAGGCACAAATAAACCTCTAGGGTACAATTTTGCATGTAACAAACACTACTTGTTAAGATGGTTGTTGCTGTTCTTGTCACTACTTGTAATTACAGAATACACCCTTTTCTTCTCATGTTTCTCTAATTTCTTCTGGAAGTATGTTCCATTACAACCCTCAGTGTGGCATCCCTCAGTGGCTGCAAGATTTTTGTGTTCTTTTAGCATGAAAAGTCCATGAACTTGCGCAGATTGGTGTTTAACATGTAGTTGGTTCGCACTTGTGATAACTTACCTTTTCGCTGCCCGGATGGTTGGTCTGATGGTGCTGTGCATTAGACAGTGTACATGCTTTTGCTGTCTAAATTGGTATGATCATCCCTGTCTTGCATTCCTCTTATATTTAGTGTTGCTCCTAGTAGGAGAAGAAGATTTTATTGCTTATGTGTACATCTAAAGTGCATCGCAAACCTTCTTAGTTGTGTTTAACTGATTGTATGCATACCTCACTCTCCTCTTATCTGATTTATCGTCGTTAGGGTTTGTTTTATTAGGTTTCGCATGACACCTTGTCATTCAACCACAACATACGTATGACTAGTGAAATAAATTAATGGTGAATCTTGCTCTATTTGATATTCGATCTCTCAATTCAATGGAAGTACAAGCTGTGCCAAGGAAAATAAAAGATTGGTCAACAAAGATAAATAACAGCTCGATCATTTGTTTACCCCTTGTTTTTGGTTTTTTTCTGCTTTCATTTACCTATAAGAAAGATCAAGAAATCGAGATTCTATAACGTTTTAGCCACTTCGTTGTATCAAGAAACTAAATGAATCATGTTACTTGAAAGTCTTTTTATACATATTTGTCTTCGACGAGGGAAAATGTTGCATATGCAGAGATGTCCTTTTATTCCCCGACAAGCATGGAACCAAGCCACTAAGGCCAGTCATTCAAAAGCCATAAGAATGGGAACAATCTTCGGCAATGTGAAGTTTGTCAAACTTGTGATGTTGTTGCTACTTGCCTGCCCTTCCAAACAAAGTCACAACACACAACAATAGATAACTCTAATCCCTCCATACATAATCTTCCATCCTGCTGCACCAAGTATTAGGGGGTAAAGTTCTTAGACAATGACTTCTGACCTTTTTTGTAAAGATGGAAATAGTAGTTTGTAAACATCTTTGTATACTCTTCTCCTTTCTTTCCCTAGTGTTATGTGATCCATGCTCATATTACCTCAAGCACATATTAACTTACAAACACTTTCTTTGTCTAATCTATTTAGTATTATGAGCATATTGAAGTGACATGCTTCACTATTATTGCAGTTTCTCTTCCCAACATTGCATGAGCATTGTGTGTTCTCTTTTACTATGTGGAACAATTGACTTATCTAATCATAATTTCAAGCAAGCTTTAACTTAGCCTGGAATTGAGGATTATTATATTTCATCTATTGATATAGTTATTTTATAATTTCAGGTCATACAGTTAATGTTTGATAATTTAGCAGCGGAAGATTTCAATATGACAAAGAGTTGCAGAAATTATTTAAAGATTGTTATTCGTTAAGATTAGTTATATAATGACATTAGCTATTTACTTCAAAGAATATAAGTTTATCTTTTGAGTTACTGTGATATTAATATTTTGGATTAGTACTTTCTTTTGTTTGTTAAGATTTAACATGATATATTATGGGTTTTATGAATTAATATTAATATGTTTTGTTATTTGCATTATCTTTTGGTCAATAGCAGCTATTATTAATGGTGGCTAAACTTACCGTAATAGCTAGTGACTTTTAGTGTCAATTTAACTTGATATGCCGGCTATAGCAATGGACAATAAAAGGATAAATTATGATGTTTATAAGAAATATTGTTGCCACTCTAATTGCCATAAAACAATTACCACTAAAGGTATGGATTTTTAGCGGCAAATTTTTTAAATTTAGCGGCTATATAAATGGTCGTTAAAGGAGCATTATTAGCCATTTTTAGAGTGAGTTTAGCAGCCATAATAATTGCTGCAAACATTTGCTGTTAAAGCAAATTAGTTTTAGCGGCAATCAGCCATACCTTTTACCAGCTTTTGTCAGAAAAGCCGCTAAAGGCTTTACCGACCCCTGCTTCAGCGGCGAAACACCAATTGCCGGTAAATGATATAACGGCCATTGTAATTGCCGCCAATGCTATTTTTTATTGCCGCTAAAGTCCCGTTTTGTTGTAGTGAAAGAATATACTCACTACTTTTTGCCTGTTGTTCATCAAAATTGTTCCTTAGCGTAATTGTTCTTATTTTGATTCTCTTATTTAATTGTTCTTATTGCTCTAAGCCACCCCGAGGTCGCCATCTCAAGGTCACTGATGCTAAGTAACATTGGTTTGATTCACTTCTATCTTTCATTTCTACCTCACATTTCTTGATTATTAATTGGTATTGAACTAAATCACATATCTTTAAAACCATAAATCAAATTTAATTGCTACTCGTATTTTTCGAGGTAAACACTCATGACCCTAGTTTATTGTCTATTATCCATTATGTGGTAAGAAGAAAATCACAGTGACACTTTTATTTTCCCATGCTTGGTGAACCCTGTATTGCCCAGGATCTTGCCATAGCCATTGGTGTTACTGCATGCACAAATATCAAGTCATCATGAACCGGGAAACAATCAATATTCACGTTGACTCCATATTTTAAGAAAAGGACTACTTGTAAATTTTCATTTGCAAAAAACAGAAATGACACTTGCTTAGAAAAGAGGATAAGCGGCATCAAAATAGTTGACTATTATGAAGGGGTATTTTGATTATGTAGCCGTTAGATTATTTAATTTCTTTTATCAAATAGGATATTTAGGTTAATAATTAGAAGGGCATTTTAGTAATTTAACTTTAAGTTTAAGGGCTTCCCACTTTTAATATAACTAGTTTCTCGACACGTGCGTTGCACGTGTTTGTCAAGTTTACAATACATGACGTGTATATAATACAAAGAATATTTTTAAAAAATATAACTATAAATGAACGAATAAAATATAAGTTTTTTATGAATGATCAATCTATCATGGTTATTATTCTTGTTTGAAATTAAAAATAAAGTCAAAAACTTTTACTTCTTGTACGTAATTAATACAATACAAAAATATTTTTGTGCCAACATTTTATAAAAAGCCTTATCATATTTTATTTGTGCAGTTATTCTTTAAGACTCTTGTTTACGTATAATTCGGCGTAGAAAATATCATATAGGCTATGCTAAATACAATGACTAATACATATGGTAATAACTTTTAAAAAAATAAATTAAAAGAAAAAGAAAGACCATGAGATTTGAAGAAATAACATAATCATCAACGATGCACATGAATTAAATTATTATATTAGAACTTACATTGTACTATAATGAGAGTTGATCCGGCAAAGGAAAAGAAAGAAGACAGCCGACGGTGAAACTTTAAATACAGAAGAGAAGAGCGTTAGAGAATAACGACTATTACTTTATTCTTTATGTTGATAGGAAGATGTTGGATGGTTTGAGTATAAATAAAATGGTGTTTGTAAGAATTTGGAAGGTATAATCTATGTGCTCTAATTTTGAAAAATCACCAAACGTTTTCTATTCTTTTATGAAAAGGCAACACGTTTGAAAACAAAGTAAACAATAGGCATCTGTTAGGTAAAAATCAGTTTGAACATTAGATATTAATACGAAGGATCACACCTTTTCAAGTAAATTTAGCATTTTTGTGTAATTTTTTGTATGTAAGATATTTAAATTATTTAAAGGGGTATTTTGATAATTTAACTTTTGACTTAAGGGCTTTCCACTTTTAATATAACTAGTCTCTATACACGTGTGTTGCCACGTCGTCTATAGAATTATTGTCATTTAGTAGAAAATTTGTGTAAAAAATAGTAATATTTTTAATCGAATTAATATTCAAAACATATTTAGTTTAACTATAAAATAGATACTAAAGTAGTAGAAATCTAACTGCATAAGCTTTAATTTGCTTTTATTCATAAAATTAATGTAAGGAGGCATGTGTTTGCTCCCTTATTTGGTATAGTTCGCCATGCTTGTATTCTCTCTATTTTTGTTCTTGGCCGAATACGATCGGTTTTAGAAAGAATAATAAATATAGGAGTATGTCTCTTTAGTTGTTTTTACTATAAATTTTGAAAAGACTCGTACATATAATAAATTACTCGTACATGAAAAACTCATCTATTAATTACTTACTCAAGGGAATGATTTTTCAAAGGTATAAAACTCCATCAATTACGAAGGTATAATAAAACTTTACTGCAATTAAGGACCTTTGAGTTCTAAATAATTAGTTACTATATGTAAGTTTTTAGGCTTCGAAGATGAATAATTTATACGGTTGGTTTAGTCAAAACTTTAAGCTTTTTATTTAGCTCTTTTCCTTCCTATTTCAACACATAATAGCTCAATTTTTGTCAGATAGCAATAAAACAATACAAGAAATTAAATAAAAAAATCATATAATACAAAAAGAGATAGCAATAAAATCATACAAGAAATTAAATAATACAAATCACAGAACACAAAAAGAGGCTGTAGCTCCATATATGCAATTTTATTATATGCACAAAAGCATCTTATCTTACGAATAGAAAAAGAGTATAAAAAAAAGAGGAAATTACGGACGTGTCTTTCTGACCCAAGTAGGATCAATTTTGTAGGGCCGGTGTATGTGTAGTTTAAATCGAAAAAGAATTCCATCATTAGATAATTTACAATTAAATTCATAAATTATACAAATATTTAAGGGCATAAAAGTCAATCAATATTTCGGGGATATTTTAGGCGTTCAATATTTAGCATAAATTGTTCGTGTTTTTATAATAACTATACGTAGATCTTTAGTCTATTATTTATATGAAGTAGAATTGTTGTAATATAATTTAGCTGGAAACTAAAAAATGCACAATCTTATATATATATATATATATATATATATATATATATATATANTATATATATCCCAATCTCAATTACGAAAAACAGAAATAATAGAAAGAACTAATAATACCTTTGGAAAAAATTGTTTCGTTCTACACCAAAATCTTTAGAGAATTGTGAATAATGTGGAACAATGACATCTTTTATAGGAATGATTAGCTTATTCTTTTCCTACATGAATTCATACAATTAAGCTGAATTCTATGGAAGAAGATTAAATAAAGAAAAATATTATTGTCAAAAAAAGAAAAGGCTAGCACAAAAAAAAAAAAAGTTGACTTTGAGGAAAAACCAAATCGGCCATATATTGTCCAACAAAAAGTAGCCCATATCTTTGTCAACAAAGTGTACGATAACAAGAAGAACTGAAGAAGCATGCCGCAAAGGAAAAGAATTTGACCAAAGTCTGCTATGTAGCATTGATGTATGCCTAGTTTAAATGGAAAGAAAAACCAATCTCAAATAATTTATAATTATATCCTTAAATTATATAAATAATTAAGGTTATAAAAGTCGATCAATATTTTAAGGTTATTTTAGTCGTTCAATATTTAACATAAATTATTTGTGCTTTTATAATAACTAGTCTTAATGTACGTTTCTCGCACGTATAACAATAGACGTGCCTAATAATAAGAATAAAATATGTAGATATACGTGTTTATAAGAAAAGTGTTAATCCCATATACCTTATAATACTAAAAATGCTACTTATAGCTAATTTAATTTCTTATCACCATTTTTTTTAGTTATATCGTAAAAATAGACAAGTAAGACGTTTGGGCATATGAGAAGACCTAATAGATTGAACCATGAAA